AGAGAGAGAGGAGAGCCAGTGTGGCGTTGTGGTTTGACCGTTGGACTAATGACTAGAGGCCAGGGTTCGATTCCCCGCTCGAGCGTAAAAACCCACTGGGTCACCTCGGGCAAGTCACACTCTCTCAGCCCCAGAGGGTGGCAGTGAAGGCAACCTCCCTCTGAAGAAACCTTGCCAAGGAAACCCTATGATTTAGGGTCGCCATAAGTCAGAAACGACTTGAAGGCACACAACAACAACAACAACAAAGAGGAGGGGCTGGATGCCACAGGGGGGAGTGTACGTTCATCCGCATTGAGCTGGTGGTCCACTCTTATTTATTTATTTTTATTTCAAGCGTTTATGTCCCACCTTTTCTACCACAGTGGGACTCTTGCAGCCAGTGTTCTGCCCCCAATCAGTAAATCCAAGGAGTGGTGGAAAGGTGTATAGGGGCAAGGAGACCAGGATTGGTGTCTCCTGTGCACGCATCTACACTGCAGATATAATGCAGTTGGACGTCACTTTAAGTGTTGTCACTCCCTCCTATTGGATCCAGTAGTTTTGCAAGGTCTTTTGCCTTCTCTCCTAAACAGTGCTGGTGCCTCACAGCACTACAAATCCCAGGATTTTGTACCATGAAGCCATGGCAGTTAGTGGAGCCAAACTGTTTTTTTCTACAGTGTAGATGCGCCTTGTAGTGGTTTGATTGTTGGACAGTGACTTGGAGACCAGGGTTCGATTCCATCTGGGCCATGAAACCCTCTGGCTGGCCCTGGGCAAGTCACATGCTCTCAGCCTCAGAGTAAGGCAATGGCAAACCTCCTCGGAACAAATCTTGCCAAGAAAACCCCATGGTTGATTTTGCCTTAGGGTCGCCATAAGTCGGAAACAACTTGAAGGCACACAACAACAACGAGATGCACCCTGTGTGAGCAACTTAATAGGAGTGATCCCTCACAAGGATGGACACTCATGATTGGCACCAGGCCTCTCTTTTGGAAACAAGATGCAAAGAAGCTGCAGAAGGACTTGAGGGATCTCTTGAATCCCACCTTTGAACTTAGGGCCTTTGCAGACTGCCAGAAATACTGCACATTAAATTGAGGCACTGCCCTGGCTCAGTGCTAGGGAGTCATGGGAATTGTATTTTTTTCTGAGACATTGAGCCTTCTTTGTCAGAAAGCTCTGGTGCCACAATAAATTACAGTTCCCATGATTCCTTAGCACTGAGCCAGGGCAGTGCCTCAATTTAATGTGCACTATTTCTGGCAGTCTGTAAAGGCCCATAGAACCTCAGAAGCTCTTTCCTTGCTCTTCATGAGTTGAGAACATTACGTAAAACCTCTTCCCTGTAATATTTGAATCTTATGTAAGCCTGAAACATTTAAAAACAACAACTCCAGAAAACTGTCTTTTAGGTGGCAAAAAGAGATCATGATCCCGGGAAGAAAGGGGTCTAGTGTTTAGGCAGTGTGTAGCACAGAAATATTTAATATACAGTTGGCTCTCCATATCCACAGGTTCTTTATCCACAGATTCAGCTATCCACAGCTTGAAAATATTACAAAAATATATAAATGCCAAAAAGCAAACCTTAACTTTGCCATTTTATATAAGGGACACCATTTTATTTCCACTGTATTTGATGAGACTTGAGCATCCACAGATTTTGTTATCCATGGGGTGTCCTGGAGCCAAACCTCAGCAGATACCAAGGGCCCACTGTATTCACAATGTGTGTCTAAAGAGCTTAGTCTCTAAAGAAGCTAAAATAAAGCTGATGTGATGGTGCAGCCATGGGAGTGGGAAGTTTAGCATGAGTTGTTGCTAATGACATCACAGTTACCACCAACAGCTGCTGCCCTCACACAACAGTGCACAACTTGCACAAGTGTTCCACAGAGCATTGAAGTCCTGTTGGTTATGCTAGATTAGGAAAGAACCTAAATCCCCAGAAATGGCAGTGCTGACTTTCGAAGGAAAACACATTAAAATGTGTAATATGGGTGCATTTTTTTTGTGTGTGTGTGTGTGATGTAGACCCTGATCTGCTACAGCATTATCTAAAAATCCCCATATCTGTTATGCAATAAAAGCATACAGTCATCCTTTCATATCTATGGATTCAAGTATCCACAGCCTGAAAATATTTTAAAAATATATAAATTCCAAAAAGCAAACCATGATTTGGCCATCTTATATAAGAAACACCATTTTACTACCATGCTGTATATAGTGGAATTTGAGAACTCAAGGATTTTGGTATCCACAGGAAGTCCAGCCCACTGTACTTTTTGTTCTCTGCTAAAATTCTGTTTTTAGTTCTTTGCTGTATGGGTTCCCTCAGAGGTAAATCTCACTGTTCTGAAGAAAAAAAATGTGCTCAAGTATAAAATTTGTGGGGTGGCTTAAGTCAACAGGTTACTTAAATCCACACAAACACATATATTCAAATGAGTTTAGGATAACAGTCCTCTGTTAGATCATATGCATTTTTCAGGATCTTCATTGGTTTTAATGGGAACAACTACTACGAGACTATGTTTAGGACTGCATCATTAACAACTGAAGTCTGAATTGTATTGTGGCAGGAACCATGGTAATGTAAATGTAGCTGTTTAAAGCAGTTCTGCTTTCTCACAGTATAGATCCTGGGGAAGCCAGTCATTCTGCAAGTACTCACACATAGCCTCTTTCTGTTACCTTTGAAGTGAGAGAGCTGGTTTTTAGTGCAGCAGGCTTGTGGGCCCATTGTGCAGCCAGTTTGTACACCTGTGAGTTTAGTTGAAAACAAATTTAGTTGAAAACAAATTTAGCACTGGTTTTGATCAGCACAAATTAAGTCAAGCACATGTTGATAATTTCTCTCTCCATTGTTTTATTTTCAGAATTTAGCATCACTGACCAACCACTTGGCAACTGATAGCTTTTCACCCAAATTTGGCACAAACAAACTGCATCAGACAATGTCATCATCAGATGCATCGCCAGACTCTAAATGTCCAATCTGCCTGGACAGATTTGAAAATGTGGCCTACTTGGACCATTGTTGGCACAGATTCTGTTTCCGGTGTGTGCAAGAGTGGTCCAAAAACAAAGCAGAATGCCCTCTGTGCAAACAGCCTTTTCACTCCATTGTGCACAGTATGAGGTCTGAAAATGACTTTAAGGTATATACTGTAAAGCCTTCAGAAACAGACTCCTTTGCCAATCCTGATGGGAGGAGATTCCGTTATCGGACGACAGTAACAAGGGAACGTCGTGCTTCTAGTTACTCCCGGAGAAATCCCACCTCTAGGAGGACAGCATCTCCTCCTGATAATGGGATCTTGTTTGAAGGCCTGTCAGGCCAGACAACTGGACAACGAGATGCAGAAATAAGTCAGATGATCAGACGGCTTCAATCAAGGAGACAAGCCAACTTAGAGGGCAGATCTATGCGACAAATTCAGGAACAGGAAATTATTAACTTCCGAAGAGCTCTCTATCGTTCTGGTACACGTGTTCGAAGCATTGAAGATGGAGGGCGCTATAGAGATATATCAGCTGAATTTTTTCGCAGGAATCCTGCTTGCCTTCATAGACTAGTTCCATGGCTGAAGCGTGAACTCACTGTTCTCTTTGGTGCTCATGGATCTCTAGTCAATATTGTACAACATATCATCATGAGCAATGTCACTAGGTATGACCTAGAGAGCCAGGCATTTGCTGATGACTTAAAGCCTTTCTTGCTTCATAGGACAGAACATTTTTTACATGAATTTATCAACTTTGCCAGATGTCCTTTTAACATAGAAGCATATGATCAGCATGCAAATTATGACTGTCCTGCTCCATCATATGAAGAAGGAAGTCGGTCTGAGTCTTCCATTATTACCATCTCTCCAGATGAGGCAGATTCCCAGGAAGCAGAACGTAATGCCTTCACAGCAGGTACTGACCAGGCACCTTGGGATGATGAAACCCCTGGCCCATCGTACTCCAGCTCAGACCAGGTTTGTGCCACCCAGTCCACTGCTTTGGATTCTTCAGAATCATCAGATGAAGAACCTGCCACCAACACAGCAGAATTGCTGCCTCAGGTCCAACCTTCTGTGGAGATGAATGGGGATAGTTGTGATTCCTCGGACAACTGTGTTATTGTTGGCTATGTGAAGCCACTAGCTGAGAGAACACCTGAACTTGTGGAGCTGTCATCAGACTCTGAGGAATCTGTTGCTGATGGTGGGAAAAGCGAAGATATTCAGAAAGTGAAGCCCATCCAGTACCGGAGTTTCAGTGATACAGATGCTAGTGGGTATGCATCCCCATTCTCTCTTGGGTCCAGAGATGGAAGTGCCAGTCGTAAAGCTAGTGTGTCCCAATCAAGTAAAAAACGAAAATCCAAACGGAGTGAAAAAGGCAAAAGTAAAACAAGTGGGAATGGTTGTTTACAAAACTCATCTACAGAGAGAGATGTTGATTATTATGATGATAACTACAGATTATCCAAAAGAAGGAAATCTGAATCTTACACACAGCATGCTGACCGAGAGCACTGTGGCTTGAAAAGTAAGAGCAAGGATCGTGGCATGGAAAAACGAAAAAGGAGGAGAGAGAGTAGCAGACATAAGCACAGAAAGGACAAAAAGAAGTCAAGAACCCGAGACAAAAGTCTCTCTCGAAAAAGCCAAGTTCTCTCGCTGAGCAATGAAAGCATTGACTCCCAAGAACTAAGCAGATCACGGTCTCATAGCAAGGAATACAGCAAAAGAGCAAAGAGCAAAGAAAGAGATAATTATTTCAGAGATGCCTATCAAAGCAAATATGACTGGGAATATGGTTTTCGCAGCAGGAATACATCCCGCGATAGCTATCAGTCATCGTACAGGAGGCGGACTTCATATGCAAGGCATTCTCCCAGTCCAGACTACGGAGTCTGCTCCTTTTCTGAACGGAACAATAATCGAAATTCTAAAAGTCATAGCAGGAATTACTACTATGAAAGGAATAGATCAAGAAGTCGGTCCAGCAGCAGATCTCACACGCCTTCTCGAGGTTCTGATCGAGTAAGATCAGAAAAACCCAGTGGCAAAAGGAAATATAAGACCCGTCACCTTGAGG